TTTCCTGCTCTTATATGCACCCTGTATTTATGCCCCAAATAGTTCTCTGTACGCCTATTGTGCACGGTTCTGAAGAGCTCTGCACCAAAGCCCCAACCATAATGTATAATTAGTCAGCTACAAAACTATGTTCCATAAAGTATGTTCAATTAGGTATATATTCGCCTATTACTCTTAATTAACTTCTCATATAATTTTAGTGCATCACATCATACTGTTTACCCACGCGCGCGCAGAGGCGCGCGCTTTGTACCAGTGAGCCAAGGACCGCCGTGTGCGGTGTGCCCCGGCCAAATCCTAATGAGCCTGGCGTCCACCGTGCCTCATCCTTGCTTATCTCGTTGCCCCAACCCCAAATCCTAAAATCCCTGTAGTGGGCTAGTAGCAGCAAGGCTTCCAAGTGTCGGTGTAGTGTCCTGTTCACATTATAGGGAGTAGTGCAATGCAGCCGTGTGGCGTGTGCTACATAGGTAGAATGCCAGACAACAGCAATGAGCCAACAACCAAGTCCAAAGTTATTGTGAAAGTAGTGAATAGATTAATTTATCCTCAAATTAGTTCAATTGATGTAGTATGTAGATGTAGGCAATATAAATTAAAAAATCACTGGTTGATTATTTATGAATTATGTATATATTTTATTTGTTTGTAGGATTTGTTATGCAAGTAATAAACTTTATTGTTGAATCGAGGATTTATTATATCATTTAGCACTTGCATATTGAATCACAGGCTAAAATACACTCTTGTTCTCTCTCTATTTCAAAATATAATAATCCATAATATATATCTAGTAACGTAACAAAAGATACATATATATATAGTAACTAAAAGTCAGAACAACTCATCATAATTTGAAATGGAGTACCATTTACTAAATTGCTAACCCAAACTCAAATGGGCCACTGGTCGCGCGTCGTTCGGAGCGCGTGCCACCCTAGCCCATGAGCCCGACACGACCTCACGGCCCGTGCCTTCCTCCTCCACCATTGTCGTCGGAGGCGAGCTCGACGATGTTAGGGTTTCATGGTCAGGGGCTTTGGTTTGCTAGGGCTCCGTCGGCGACCTTAGAAAGGGGAGGGGCCGGGCCACGTTCTCCCGTACAGCATGGCTAGGTCACACGTTAACATGCTCTAATTGCTAAATATGTTTTATTAAATTGTATATAAAATTTTTGGAGCGGCATACTCTGTAGAAAATCTGGCTTGGCCGATGACCGTTCAGGCGTTCAGCCCGGGTGCGGCTTGGCGATTGTCTTCAGCCTTCAGCAGTCGGCTCTTGGTGCTACTAGTGAGCTATAGGAGTATCGTCGTACACTCGAGATCAACAGATGTTGCGTCGCTGTCCTAGGTTACAAACACGAGACAGTTGCACTCTGCCAATGGATGGCTTATCGTTTGGGAGACGCTACTGTTGTACTACTGTGTACTCGTATGTACTCCGTACATATTTGAGCTTCTTTTATCCCGCTCGACGCCTATGAGAAGTTAACTATAATTAGGGGCTGTTTGATACAGGTGACTAGATGTTTAATACTAATTATGACTATTAAATATAAACTCATTGCAAAATTAATTGTATAAGCCACTCCACCCTTTTTTAATTTAGTTTGAGATGAATCTATTAAGACTATTAAATAAACTAGTTGCAAAATGATTAGATTAAACGAGATGATGCTAGAGTAATATATGATAATCATGGAACATTGTAATATATGATAATCATGGAACATTGTTCTTGAGACTTCGACCTGACACAAGCACGCATGGACCATTGTTCCATGTGGACTTGTTTTCTCGTGACGCAGCCCATAGCCTTGACTTCGACCTCTCGTTCTCCTCCCGTCATCCTTGCGATGAGTCTGACATTGGATCTGCTAAAGTGCCTATGCACCCCCAGGCCCCGATTAGCCTATCATCAAGGTTGTTACCATGCGAAAAACTGTTAGTAGGATCGTTTAGAGTATCTCCAGCAGTGCTACCCAAATGAAGATGAGCAGCGCCTCCATCGCAACCAGCACAGGAGATTGAAGATGAGCAGCGCTATAGAACAAGTGAAAACGGGTGCCATGTTCGCTTGGCTGATAAGCCATGGCTAAAAATACTGTTAGCTGACTTGTTGTGAGAGAAAAATATTGTTCGTTGGTTGAAAAAGTACGGCTTATAAGTCAAACGAAGAGGATGCTGGCTTGAAGTTGGAGAGTGTCACCAATGGGCCTACATCTAACTGTCGCCTCTGTATTGAGAATAAGATGCGGCGTTTGGCAAGAAGCAGTATTTTTCCCTCCCCCTCAATTTCATTGCAGACTTTCGTTGACTTTATCTCTATTCCATAATTATGTACTAAGTAGGTTTGAAAGTTTAGATCACGATTTTTACCCAATGTGTAATTAGTTTTTTTTATTTGATAAATATTATAATCCATGGACCAACTAAGCTCAAAAGATTCGATGTGATTTTCAACTAAATTGTGTAAAATTTTTTGGGAACTAAACGGGCCCTAAGATGAACTCAACCCAACTGGCAAGAAGCAGTATCAAATCCCTCCCCCCTCAATTTCATTGCATGTTCTGACGTTGACTCTTATGTCCCCGCTGTTAGGCCATCCTGTGCTGTTGCCCAACTACCCATCTGACTAAAAACTGTCGGGTCGAGCGTTAGCATTCATAGTGAGACCCGGCAGTCGGCGGGAGATGGCGCGCTGGTTCCGTTGCTATTGCCTTGCCTAGCCTAGCCTTGTTGGCGTGGGCGAGGAAAAGCTTGCCGGTGCAAAAATCAAGGAAAATATTGCCGGTGCAAAAATCAAGGTAGGCAAGATTAGGAATCCAAACACCCTATCCAATTTAATTTCTTGTTTGGTAAGGTAAAGCAGCGTTGGGTAAAAGTTGCAAGAAGGTGGCGGGGGCGACGAAGGGCGCCGCGGCACCGCGCCGTTTCAAATTCGAACGCGTCACGGAACACCTGGACAGAGCGGAGGTCGATGGCTGCCACGTCCACCGCGTCGCCGACATGCTGGTGCTCTCGCCACGTCGGATGAATGTCGACGCGCCAATTCCCATCTCGATAAATTTGATCTGAGCCTCTCGCTGGCACGCTGGGCTTTGTGGGCTCCAACGGGCCAGGGCCGAAGATGCTGCCGTGCTGGGCAGCATCCGCGAACTGCGCTGTCCTGGCACGAAGTGAAAGGTCATCGCGCCGCCGAGCCGGCCGTGGGCCAGCGCACGTCGCCGTTACGTTTACCCGGCGGAGACGACAGACGACGTCGTCTCGCTCGCGCAAGCAGAGCGCAGGCGCAACCGCGAACCTCCCGAAACTGCCCTCGGGCTCGGGGAGACCGCAGAACCGCGCTTGTGCTTGTGCGGTTGTGCCCCAGCGCCGCGGTCCCGCCGTGCCGGGCCGGGTTTCGGTTTCCTCTCTTTTTCCACCGGCGTTTTGGTAACCTCGCCCCGGTCAAAATTGGCGGATTCCTTCAGCAGCCAGCAGCCAAAGGGCAGGTACACGAGTTTCTCCACCGCAGCGTCATCGCGTGCAGGCCCGAGCGGTAACTTCGATTGAACTCCACGCTTAAAAGATTCGTGGTTTTTCTTTTTCTTTTTTGAAATCTGCTGCTGCATCTGCATGTGTCACTCCCGGGATGGTTGACGGTGCACTGTCCGTCTTGGTTGATGGTCACGGCATCCGTCGAGTGGGAGGAAAGAATTGAGAGCTGCCGAGGGAAAGGGGTCGGAATCGTCTTCGCTGTCATAGTTTAATCTAGCTTTCGTAACAGTTAGTTTAACTGAGGGCCGAAAAATGTTGGTGCTGGGTACATACTAACTACGAACTAATCAACTGACTAATGATGTGATGATGGTATACGAAACAACTTTCGGGTTGGCAACCTGCAGCGTTTTTTACTCCAAAGAAGAGGGGAAAAAAAGAAACATAAATTTGTACACAGCAGGAGTACGATTCTCGTGCTCTTAACACGGACGGTTCCTTCATGGCCGCAACAATTTTGTGCAACCTGGCCGAGGGCCAGCTAATAAAGGAGAACAATTTTACCAGCGGCGGCCAGCCCTAAGTTTAAATTTTTCCCAGCCTAGCACAGCAGGTTGCACATAGCAGACACGGTGCGCAAGACTTTAGACAAAACTATGGAGGCACGAACTAAAAGCAAACCAACCGTGCCTAACAGCGGTACAGCCAGCACACGGGTAGCCCCTGCTCCACACAATGTGCGCTACCGGTGCCACGACCGGCAGCGAATCAACTCCCAGCACAGAGGACCGTCGCTAGCCCGGCATGATTCGCCCGTCCGAAGCAAACCGCGCTTAGGCTTTCCGAATCCGGATTTCGCGACCGGCAGTGCAGGCAGGGAAGGAAGGGATACGCGGGTTGCCCGGGCCCGGGTCCGGGCCACGCATGGCCCGAGCGCACGCCAACGCCATTAATCACTCCGCCACGTCCTCATCAACTGTACTGTGTGTCACTCGCCGTTGCCGGCCCAAAAGGTCACCGGCAAAATAATCTGAATAATTGCGCGGTGATATATGTTTGTCACAGTGAAGAACCTGTGCCTGCCTGATTCCACTCAGCTGTACATTTTCCCTATTTTTTAAGACGCGTGTAAAAGGAGAGCAGGAGGAATCAGGCTCGTACAATTACTAGTCCTCACTCATATACGGAGCATAGTTAAATGCAGTGCTTACTCATCTTTCTGGGAGGACCAGGGAGTTCAAATTAGCGGTAATAAAAAATTACAAAGGCTAAAGACTACTAGGGCATCCAACTGCCGATACCGGGGGTGCGGGGGAAGACTGGAAAGGGTGTGGCGACGGAGGGAAATCCACAGTGCATTTGTTGCGCGCACGGACTTTTGGCAGCCATTCAATGACCCACCAGACGCTGTTCATCGGCATCGCTTCCAGCCTTCCACCCTCGCTGCTGCTGCCTTTTCCCCTGCTTCCCACCACTTCCTCCACGCCTCCTCCCTCCTCCTGCTCCTGCTCCCCTCCCGCCATGGCGTCGTTCGTCGCGCACCACAACGGCTCGCTGGTAAGGCTCCTCTCACTCCGACGTGCGCGACGGTTGCTGGAAGAACAAGAAAAGAAAACCACTTTCTTTTCTCTCTTCTTTTTTTCTACTCTTGGAAACTGACGAGAGTTTTGGTTCTCTTTTGGTTTGTGCGCGGTTTCAGCTGGAGAGAGAGGGCAAGATGTCCGCCCTGGCCCTGAGGAGTAGCCTCTGGCCGTGCGAGGCGGCGGCTGAGGAGGTCGCGGCTGGGCCGGCGGCGTGCGGAGGCGCGGAAAGGGGTGTCGCCGTCTTTGCGGACGAGTTCTTCGTCGAGGACTTGCTGGACCTCGAGGACCTCTGCGAGGATGACAAGGACTGCGCCGCCGAGCTGGGCGACCCGGCGCCGGAGCCGGCGCCGGGGGCTGTTGAGGAAGAGGACAAGCTGTCCACTGACTCCCACGGGTCGTCGTCGGTGGTGTCCTACGAGCTCATGACACTCCCGGTTCCGCACCAGATGATTGACCTCCCGTTGCCGGTAAGAGCAAAACCACTTTTGTTTGACCTCGTCCTTTGCCGGCATGCCCGGCAAGGCGGCGTCTTTCTTTTTTTTTCCTCCTCTCTCTCTCTCTCTCTCTGCTCTCTCCACACAAGGTGGTTGAGGTTTCGGTGCGTGTGCAGGCCCATGACGCCGAGGAGCTGGAGTGGGTGTCCCGTATCATGGACGACTCGCTCGCCGAGCTCCCGCCGCCGCCGAAGCTGCCCGCGGCGCCGTTCGGAGCCACGCGGCTGCCGCTGGAAGGCGCGGCGGCAGCGACGGCGGCTGGCCCTGCTATGCGGAGGAGCCCGACCCCGACCATATGCGCGCTGTCGACGGAGGCGCTGGTGCCCGTGAAGGCGAAGCGCAGCAAGCGCTCGCGGGCGTCCGTGTGGTCGCTGTCCGGCGGCGGAGCGCCCCTGTCGGAGTCGACGACGTCGTCGTCTTCCACGACCACCACGTCGTCCTGCACCTCCTCGTCCGCCTCGTTCTCGCCGCTGCTCCTCCTCCCGGCGGCGGACTCGTCGTCCCTCTTCCTGTCCTCGTGGCACCTCCTCGACGAGACTACGCCGCGGCCACCGAAGAAGTCCAAGCACGGGAAGCACGGTAAGAGCGGCGGCAAGCCCAAAAAGCGCGGCCGCAAGCCGAAGCACCACCCCAAGCCGCCCCAGTTCGCGGGCGGCGGCGGCGCCGGCGCCGGCGCTGGCTCCGCGCCGGCGGCCCAGGGCGACCGGCGCTGCAGCCATTGCGGCGTGCAGAAGACGCCGCAGTGGCGCGCGGGGCCCGAGGGCGCCAAGACGCTGTGCAACGCGTGCGGGGTCCGTTACAAGTCCGGGCGGCTGCTCCCGGAGTACCGGCCGGCGTGCAGCCCCACGTTCGTGAGCAGCATCCACTCCAACTCCCACCGCAAGGTGCTGGAGATGCGCCGCAAGAAGGAGGACGTCCATGGCCCGCTCCCGCTCCCGCTCCCACCAGTCCCGGCCGCGCTTCTTGGTCTTGGGCCGGCCGTCGCGTCGTTCTAGCCGGCCGCCGCTGTACATTTTTTCCTCCATCCCCGGGTGGAATTATTAGCCTGCTGTACCGTACCTGGATTTTTTTTATTTCCACCTTCTCACTGTAAAATGATATTTATTTTTTTCCCTTTTTTTTTGGGGGGGGTGGGCGGTCAGGACGATAGGACTCCATACTGGTAGTCTGTCTGGTGTACGAGGGCATGGCACCTTTCGTGCATGGGCGGGAGACCGGGAGTGATCACTTCGAAACCAGGCAGCCTTTCTTTTGCTCTCGGACCAGACCTCGCGATTCTTGCCAGCAGGCCAGGTGCCTCGGCTCTCGTGCACCGCGCAATTGCTCCATCCACACAAATGCTTTGACGGCAGCAGTAGCAGCCTAGCAGGTAGCAGCAGCACTGGGACGCTGGCCTCGTGATGCCGGTGGCCCGTGTGCGCCTCGGCCGCGCGCTTTGAAGATTTGCTGTCCGCGGGATCCTTTTTCGTTAGAGCATATCTAGGTGTTCCCTAAAATTTTCTCCTAAAAAGCCGATGTTTCCTAATTCTTAAAAAGGTATTAGGACAAAAAAATAAGGTCATCTTCAATAGTACTCAATATTTCACTTTTAAAAAATTAAATTTTAGTCCCATGAGTTTTTTTTTTGTGGTACTTTTTTTCCGGCACGAAAGTGTTCCTGGTCGCGCAACCCTACACCGCCGCTGCCTCCTTCCTTCCTCGCGCCCTAGCCTGCAGTCCCAGCCGGCCATCTAGTAGTAGCATTCAGCACATAGTACTAGTAGCATTGAACAACAGTGGCATGCAAGCAAAGCCGGTCCACAGCCGGTTCATTTGGTCGTATTCGGTTTATAAGTCATGGCTTATCAGCCAACGAACAGTATTTTTCTCTCACACCAAATAAGTTAACAATACTTTTAGTCATGGCTTATAAGCCAAACAACCTCAAACGAACAGGGCGCTAGTAGTAGTACCATTCAGCATCAGGCGCCCAGCAGCAGCTCATTGCAGGCAATCACCCGACAAGCATACAAGCAGGCAACCTTTCCACACAACGGCAGCAGACGGGCACGCAACCACGGCCTCCCTTGGCCGCGCAAGGATAAACATGGCGCCGCGCTTGACTTCGACGGCGGCCAAAGCCAAAAGCGCATCGGCATCCTGTATGGCCACCGGCGGCATACCTTTCGGGCGGCGTGGCTACACCGACCATGGCCCAAGAAAGCGATGGTCGCTAAACCCTAGCATCGGCAAAACCAAGAAAGGCGACAACGTAGATTGGGTTCAATGATGGATTACCTCCTCCGACGACGCCGTGGCGAAGATCTCTCTCTCAGACGGCAAAGACGAGATGGCGCCAAGGGAAGAAGAAACCGCGCCAAAAGACCGCTCTAGGAGGGAAACTCGCCGGGAGGAGAGGATACGCGCGATGAGGACAACGCGTAACTTTACGCGGATTGAGGGAGTTTTTTCTAAGTCCTAAAAGATTATGAGTATATATTATGAATCGTTCGAGAGGGTTTTTTTCCATCTTTCTAAAAAATAAGGATTAGAAAGATGTTTAGGAAACTCTTGGAGATGCTCTTATTCCCTCGATCCTAAAATAAGCATCACTATCGTATTCGCTTCGGTCAAATGATTTTAAGTTTGATTATATTTATTAAAAATATTAGCAACATTTATATCTTTAATAAGTTTATTATGAAAATATATTTAACGATCTATCTAATAATACTAATAAATATTAATATTTTCTTGTATATATATACGGTAAAATCTAAAATTGTTTGACTTCTCAGGAAGCAAGAACGACATTTATTTCAGGGTGGAGTAGTTTTTTTTTTTTGCATTACTACGTTTACTTCGCTACAGAGTTTAGCTAGGGTACATCACCGGATTAATCAGGTGGTGTCACTGGATCGTGCGCTACAAGCATTTCAGCTAGGGTTAGCTGAATAGAGGAGTCAAGGACTCACCGGATTGTTCCGATGCTTGGCACCCCATCATCCGATGTTGTCCAATAAGCAATCGGAGAGAAAATTAGGTCATCGGCGGACTATGTGGTACAGTGGTATGCTCCGTACAGTAACAGCTACTTGGAAACTAGCCGTTGGACAGTTACCATATTCGTCCGATGCTCTATTCAAAGGGTCACCGGATAATCCGGTAATGCTGATTTCCATGTAGTGGAGTAGTAACAGCTAATTGCGCGTGCGTTTGCGGGGAGAGGTATTTATACCCACTCCATCTCAACCAAGGAGGCTCTCTTGCCATTTTGAACAGCAGGATACACTCATTTGTGAGCAAGGGAGAGTTCAAGCTTAGTGGAGTGATAGGGATTTGCTAATTGCAAGATTAAGGACTCCATTAGTGCTGGGAGAGTAACAAGTGTGCATCCACTAGTCTCGTTAGGCTTGGTTAGGTCAAGTGAGAGTTTGTGCTTGTTACTTTTGGGGATCGGCATCAGCTAGATGGTTTGGTGGTGATTGGAAGCTTGGTGATCTCTCGATGAAGCTTGTGGAGGCCCAACTCATGGTGTAAAGGGTTGTGGGTGATTCACCGTACCGGAGTGGTGAAAAATCAACCCATAGAGAGCACTTGGTCCTTGCGCGGATCAAAGGGAGTTATACCCGTGTGCGAGTGCTCTAACAAGGACTAGTGGGAAGTGTTCGCTCTCCGATATCTCACGAAAACAATGTTGTGTTCCTAACCCCAGTTTACTTTGAGCATTTCTATTTGTGCATTTACTTTCATGTCTTTATACTCTTAGTGTTGCCACGCTAAGTATAGGGTTGAAACTAGAGTGCAAAACTTAGTGCGTAGGCTAGAAACACAATCTAGGCACAAGGGGCGAGTCCGGTTCAGAAACCCTGGGTCCCCAATGGACCCGCTTCCCTACAAAACTCGGCCCAGCAGGTGGCGCAACGACAGCACACGCCTGGGCTAGCCCAGATACACAAAGACAGGCCAAGACCATGATCCGGTCCTCAACCGGCACCTCCCGCTAGGAGATCTGGTCGAAGCCCCGACCTCTGGGTCGTGGGCTCCGCCTCGCCCGACCTCTGGGGGCGGGCTTCGCCTCGCTCGACCTCTGGGTCGCGGGCTTCGCCTCGCCCAATCCCTTTCTCCAACCAAGGATACGCCGAACCTCTACTCGCAGCTCTTTCTCGACTGACACGGCCGAGGACGACTGGGATCGACCGACCGAGGATACCCGCTCGGTGTGGGTCTAGGGAGCAGGCGGAGCAGATAAGGTAAGGAGCTCAAGTCAACTGCAATATCGAGGACCGTACCCTGCCATACCCTGCGCACCTACAAGACGGTGCCTCTAGGTCATGACAGAAGGACACTATACAACCTTCTAGACGTGTCAGACTACAAACAGTATTGTGGGCGCTGACGTTTCCCATAGCAGGCGAAGACGGTAGAGCCTGCCAGACACGTCTGGGCATAAACAGTATTGTGGGCGTCAACGTTTGCCGTACCAGGCGAACACGGTAGAGCCTGCCACACGCGTCTAGGCATAAACAGTATTGTGGGCGCTGGCAGCCATCCCGTACCTGATGGCGTGAGCAACAAGACTAGGCAGCACACGTATACACTTTCTCTCTTTCTCTCTGACTTGTAAGGCCATCCCTTTCAACTATAAAAGGCGGTGCGCTCTCTCCTAAAAAAGGACTCTCTCTCTCTCTCTGACTCTCTTGACGACTCGAGAACACAACAGCTCAACAAGCTTTAGAGACACACAGAGCATACGCTCCAATACTTAGCATACGTTAGAGCCCCCGTCACTCTCGGCCGCTCGGATCAGAGTCCAACCGGGCCTCTAACACCCCCTTCTCATTCCTATTTGTTTGTAACCCCATAGCAAACTTCAAGCACCTAGGCTCAGGAATAAAGTCATCAACCGACTGAAACTGGACGTAGGGCACGTGCCTGAACCAGTATAAATCTTGTGTCCATGAGTGCTAGGCCACATCCGATCACAACGCACGACAAAACTACAAATATTTACTTGTTGGTCACTTTTGCACCGACAGTTGGCGCCGTCCGCGGGGAAGATGTCGTGCGTTCACGCTTTTGGTCATCGGATGGCCCACCTTTCCACCATTTTCGGCATGGCAGGCTCGAGCGATATGACTCGCTTTGGCTCACTGGAGTTTCCCACGCTCCCACCTGTTGGGATGTGGGTTCCTCCCATCTTTGTGTCGCTCCGGACCTTCCTCTTCGGATGTTTGGACTTCGTCGTCGACCAGCTCGGTGTACTACGCCTCCATGAGGAGGCACTCATCCCAGTGTCCACTGGAGGAGGAGCGCCCTCCACTGGCCCCGGGCCACTCGACGACCACAACGTCGAGACACTCGCGCTTCGCCTCGAGCCCATGCTGGGCTCAAACCCCACGGTGAGTGATGTACATATTGTTCTTTACTCACTATTTAATACCTTCCGCTAACTCTTTGAAGGGACCCCGTTGTCCCCACCGCGACCACCGTGCGACCGATTCCCCTATGGCATCGTGTCCCCCGTGGACGCGTGCGCGGGAGCTCCGAAGGATGCTGATGACGCCCCCTCTCACGTCCGAGTTCGTGGGGATGGCGGGCTATGCTCCTGCCTCCTTTCATGACCTCATTGATTACGAGGTCAAAAGCGACGGCTCCAGCATCGGCGACATCGTGGCACCTGGCCACCCACTATCCTGGGAGTGCGCTATGGCGGACGTCCCAGGACAGCCACCGGTGGTAGTGGAGTCTCTATAGACTCACACCCCTCCAGACCCCCATGCGAAGGCCCTCGCGCGTGCGCAGGAGCACGGCGAGGAGTTACAATAAAGGCGACAGAGCCAGCCGTCACCAGCGCTGGCGCGCTTGGTGTAGCACGCTGCGCCACATGCGCGTAACCCGGCGAGCAGCGCTCGGGGTTGCGCCCATCAGGTCCAGCATGACATCCTAGAAAGAGGGAACGACCCCCCTCAGTTTGCTCGGGCTGGCCAGAACATTGCTGCTGTGGCGATGCTTC